GCCAGGTTTTGTAGCTCCAAATCTTCGAGATTGCATATCCTTTGAAGACTTCTTACTGCTGACACTACCGAAACTATCTTCTTTCGCAGTGACCGTCCAGAATCTCCTCCCACGCGAGCCAATGTCCTCAAAAGCTCGAGTGATCGACGGAATACTTCTCTCGACGTTTGTGCTCTGGGGAAGTGCCAGTCTTCGTCTTGGATAAATTCAACCAGGATGGAGATAAGTCCGCTGGTGTTACCGATTCGCACGCATATCCTGTGGTCCACGGCTAGCCCGTTGAGGATAGTGAGTCTGTAGCTCTTTTCTTCTAGCACTTCCTCCTCTCTTGCGGCTAAAAGAGCAGTGAGGGCCTCCAGGGATCCAGGGATAGCGGAAATCCTGAAGCAGTTACGGCGGTGACGAACCAGGTGCTTGATTACTATGGTTGCAGCTTTCCTGATTTCGGCCTCACTAGGATCCTTCCAGGTGATCATCTCTAAGAGTCTCTCCACAACTCCGGGCGTGGTACCAATCCTCCGTCGCGTTTCTTTTATTGAATCTCCTTTTGAGACAAGAGCTGACAGTATGTTGACGCTACCGAGCTGCTCTTCCCTTATGCTTGACTGCAGCTTCTCGACGGTGAAATCGATAAGGTCCATTCCCAGGCCATCAAACACGCTTCCGTTCAGCGATCGTGAGTACAATGTGTACCAGTACTGCTTCATGGTTTCAATGTCGACTTGATCAAGCTCACACGTTCGAGTGACTACTTCCAGCAACCTCTGGTAACGAAGCTTGAATTCCCAATATGCTCTCTCCAGGAGGAATAGCGACGTTTCTGCCAGCATCATCGCGTAAAACACCGTAAGTGCTTGCTCAGTGTTTTTTCCTTGGGCATTGAAGCCGTGCTCGGCAAGTCGATATACTGAGAAACATACGGTGACTGTTGCAGAAGCAAGCTGGAGCAAGTACATGAAAAGGCTGATGATCCTGGTGGGGAGGAACTTTACATACGGCAGGAGCGGGACGCTTCCCACGGACCAAGTTCTTCGGGCACCGAATCCCTGGTATAAATCTTTCTTTACTGGTTTTTTGGAAAGTCGATCTCTGCTAACGTTCTGTTCAGGGTGGTCACGGTCGAAGGCTGCAGAGAACGTCTGCCTTAATCTGGCGCTCTTGTCGAACAGGAACGATCTGAAGCCGAGAATTCCCAAGCTGTAATTTGCCTGCTGCCATTCCAACTCGCTACTTCGACTGAAAACCCGCGTTCCTTCAGTCAGCAGCACGGCCGATATCGTCCAAAAGTCTTTGGCCTGAATGTTGCTCACGAATCCACCGAGGAGAACAACAGTTGCCCAGACGAAGGCCAGTTTCCCGAGGCCAGTGGCGAACTTTTCAAGAACTGCGAGCCTGAAAGCTATCAGATTGAGACGCTGCTCTGGTGATTGGGAATTAGCTGAAGGCTGGGCAGTGGAAGACTGCTGCCCTCGTCGTCTTAAATAACTCCATTTCACTGGAGCTGAAGGCTTGGGAGTGGAAGACTGCTGCTCGACTTCCGGATGTGGAGAAAAAACCGACCACAACTCACTGGTGTTGAGGGTTCTAGTGCCTGAAGGTGGAGAAGGTGGAGTAGCGAGAGCAGAGCCGGAAGAAGGAACTTGAATGGTTATCTCGTCCGCAAAGTGAACGGTACTCTTGGGGGCACCGGCAGACTGTCTGCTGTTCCTCGAATCCATGTTTAGTGTTCGAGGAGTTCTGGGCATTTGAGGAGGCAGCTGTTGCGTGGGTCCAGCTAAGACTGGTGACCGTGGTATTGACGACTTCAAAGCCGCTTGAATGTCTTTCTCATGTTGCTGGCATAAGCAAGTAAGCTAGAGACAAGGAGTGGAATGAGATTTGGGATGAAAAAATATTCATGAGAAAAGAACAAAGCTTGAATTTTTTGACCCCTCAACGAAAGGAAGCTAAAGACTCGTATAGGGATCTACAAAACCTGTGCCATGCTTGTCCCGCCATGCAAACATCACTCCCTTTCTTGCTCGTTAAATCGCGGTAGGATCTCTCAAGAACATGACCACTATACTGTTGATGACTATCGCTACAGTAGGATGGACTTTGTGGTATAGCTTGGGCTGGTGCTCTCCACAGAAGCAGCACGAACTACACAGGAGGAAGAAAGAAAAAGTAGAGAAGAAAGCGAAGAAGAATCAATGAAGAAGACGAAGAAAGGAGCTAATTACTGCTGTCCGTGAAGATGAGTGGAGAGCAACTTCAAAGAGCTAAAACTTTCACACGACAAACGGTCAGACGGGAAACTGGAGCGATCTGGCACTAGTGCTGCGATTCCAGATCGATCAATGTTGTTTGACAACAATGATCTGACACACACAAGACTGTTTTCTTCGTCGGTAAAGCCCTTTCTACTGTTGCACAACAAACTATCGCACAGCCGTGGAAGGGAATAATAGTATATAGAAACCTGTTGTATCTTGTATTGCTCTATAAATTCTCCATAAAGTTAAAAGCTTCTTCTTCCAGGCCTAGAGAAAAGTCGGCTTCAAACACGCGGCATGGCCATCTTTTAGTGTGTACTGTGCAGAACTCTCCCTTTCAACCAGGTCTTATAGTTTGCCACTTACTTGGGAAAGAAAAAACTGGATATTTCTTCTCACATAGTGATGTTTCTATTGTATACTTAAGAACCTTGTGTTGGCTCAAGGAGTAGTACTATGAAGTGGTGTAACGAATGCAAAGCTTGGACAGGGCAGACTGCTACTGAACACTATTGCCACTGCCACAAGCCTCAAATTTGCAGGGCAATTAAGTTTAGCATTTTGCAGGGATTTTAAATAAATAAGGCTACATATAAAAATATAATATGTACTTCTAATGTTGAAATTGTTTAATTTTCTTATATTAACACTTGATCATGATCCTACACATTTATAAAACTAAGTCAACCCACATCACTTGGTGTTGGGTTTCATATATTATAGTGATATTTAAATATGCCATCTAATATATTCTAGTTTAATATTTAAATTTATAAAACAGAATAAGTTTAGGTAAAGTTGATTAATTTATTAGTAAAGCATTAAAAATAAAGCTGTTCACTTAAAAATAAATATTCACTCAACCTGACAAACATACCGACCAACATGAAACCAGAATTCAAATCTTTGGCAGTTTTGGATGTTGATCTAGTGATGCCACCAAAGATATACATCATTTATCATGGGTACAACTTGTCATTGGTTAAATTAGCAAGAACACTATGCATTGCCATCTGGATAACATAAAATCTTTTGATACCACACTTCCTAACAAGAGATAGAACCTACTGTCAAAGTTTGGTCAGCACTCAACACCGAATGTCCCAATCTTTGCACCTATGAATTGTAAAGAAAGTAAAAAACTTACCATTTTGGTGGCCATGTGAATCTGCCACAATGAGAAGAATGTAAGCTGCTTCTCTGATGCCAGTGGTTGAGAAACTACATGCCAAGCAATTCTTCAATATGGTGCCCAACATAATCCTCCCAATAGAAAGATCACAAAGAATGTCACCATCCAAGCATAAATTTAAGCTAAGGATCAATTGCCACAGCTACTGCTGCAAGCTTGTGGTTTAGACATGTTGCTAGAGGCATCAGACCACCATACTGTCGAAGCAACTTTGCCTTGAATCCAAAGAAACAAAACAAAACAAAATAAAAATGAAGAAGAGAGAAAAAAAGTATCTGCAATCTTAGTGACTCTCCTAAAATCTTTCCATCGCTAGTGACTTGATAAGAAGTTTGAGAAAATGCAATCTCACTATAAGAAAATCAACTTACAACAGCAGCTCCAGTGGCATCATAGCTCATCTCAATTCCCAAAATAGGTAGCAAACCAGTAGCTATAGTGAGAAAATAAGGGTGTCATGTAGGAATTTGCACATTTGGGATGAAATTGTGAGGTGCCATTGCCAGGGATTGGCAAGAGCACATGCCAAAGCTCACAAGACCTTAAATTGAGGGAAAGAAATTCACATATTAAGCTTGAATCACAACTTAAAGGCACCAATAGTCAGGTTTGCTATCACAGTAAACACTCTCCACTAAACTTTAGAACTTACCTTCTCAATTTCAAAGGGTCTCCATTACAAAAGGTTGAATGTTAATACCGGTTAACACTTTACATGTGATATGTTGCCTAGCAAATGCTAAGTGAGTATAAAAATCAATAATTTTATACTGTTTTTTCCTTCTGATATCTCTATATACACACACAATACTATATAACATAGACCATATATTTAGAATATTAATATATCCCTAAAGTGAGAAAAGAAAAATTAGTAAGTAAATATTAGTAATAAATATAATATATGCAAAGTACTACTTGGGAATATGAATATATTTAGAATATTAAAATTTTATGAAACTTAATACAAGGAAATGACCAACAAAGTTAGCCGCCCTTGCTACTCTGGGAGTCACCCAGCTTACAAAAGTGTAAAAACAAAAATTGTTAAGAATAACTCTTTTATAGTTATTAGATTATAAATATATTTAGTCAAAAAAATTAAATGAAGAATTACTAAAAAATATTTTTCTTAATTAGATGTTACATGTAAAGTATGTTTTTACTTGGAGTCAAACAAATTTAGAATCCTGAAATGGTAAAAAACTAATATATTAATACCCAGACTAAAATAAAAGTAAAGAAGAATTACTAAGATTAACTATTATTAATTTGGGAAAGCATTATTTAATTATTATGTGCTTACTTGGAATATGAATAAATATATAACTAAAACTTTAAGAACATTAATATATTACTCAGATCCTATAGAGGATTGCTCAATTAAAAAAAAACAGCACTATTGAAAAATTAAAGTCTAACCTAGAAATAAAAAATTATATATACCCTTAAACTCAAAAATATTAAGAACACTAATACTACTATGCAGACCCAAGTAAAATTAAGAAAAGAATTACAAAAAATAAATAATATACATATTAAACACAAACTATAAATTCAAAACCTAATAAACTATATTTGTTCTTAGTCAAAAGATTTATAAACGTGTTTAATGGTAACTGTCAACCTCATGTTTGAAATGTAAGTTTCATGCCCATATATAATTGCTGTAATTGCCCAATCAATATATCATCAATACATGATTACAAAGAAGAAAAATGTATGAGAGGCTAAATGGCATCTTCCAGTTCCTCTCCAGTGCTCACCTCTGTCGTCACTAGTGGAGGCGCTGGGGGCTCGCATCCTATGGTGGATCTAGAGCCTGCAGCTCCAGATCTGCTGCTGGTGCCTGTTCTTGCGGGGATTGGGAGCCTCAACTTCACTGGCCATTTACTCGCTCTCCTTTAGGGCTATGCCCTTTCCCTAAAGCAGCGGTAGAGATCTTCCATGCCAGGAGCAACAGTGGCGAGACTGTAGAAAGGCATCCCATTAAGCTCTGGATCTACTGCTGGCACTTGTTCCCATGGAGATTGCTGTGGCGATTGAGGGAGATCTTTGGGTGGGAGATCTCTACCTGGGAGATCTGGGAGCTGCAGCTTCACTAACCATTTACTTGAGCGCATTGCTCTCTAATTTCAGGAAAGACACAATCTAGTCAACACTTTGCATGTGCCACATGTCACAATGCTTTTTTCTCTTGCCCCACACAGCTTGGCCGCCTCCCATTGGCCGAGAGCAAACATCAGCACGATTATTCACTAAGACATGGTTAAAGAAATAACCCCTTTACAGTTACCCCCCATCGGACGGCTGCAATTGGCTGAATCCGGCGGCCCAGAAAGTTTGGCACTCCCACTTTATTATGATAGATTCTTTGGGCTGAACAATTTTGTAGCATTGAACATGCCTATATCCTTTTTTATTCTGGCTAGCATATCAATGTATAGTTTCTAAACACACTCTTTGTTTAAATCTAAGCAAGAGCTCATGCTCCCATCTCTTTTGCTCTCTGGAATAGGAGTATAATTTAAGGCATGTTTATGTTATTCCCCTTTAGTATCTATAAACTTGATAAATTCATCTTTAGTAGCCTCCACAAAATTAAGTGTTTCACACCAAAAGTCTCTTTTAGAAATTTTCTTCTGATACTTTTCAAAGTACCATTTAAATACCTAGCAATGCTAGCAATATCCACAATTTTAACTTTGAAAGATTTTGTTCAGACTATTCAATTTTAGAAGTATATCAGATAGCATATGAATAGCAAATTGCATTGTGTAATTTGTCAAAAATTGATATATCTTCATAGAAGAGAATTAAAATTCTATAAGAAGACTTGGTATTATGATGTTCATTTTCTTTAAGACTTTCTCATGAGATAACTAATGTACACCGTGGATTTGAAGTATACCAAATGCAAATATATTCATAGCATCTTCTAGAGGCTTAAAAGTTATAACTCTTTTTCTAGAAGTATGCAACTATTTATAAATTTGATTGCACAACTTTTGAACAACCACAAACTTAAGAAATGTATACACAATTTCAATAGCCACTAAACTTTATCTATGCACTAAGTAATGCACTCCAAGCAAGTGTGGAATGTTATGTTTCAATCCTGTCATTAGGCTAAATTGTTCTTTAACCATAATAAAAGCTCCATCAGTTTTAATAGCAACACATTTTCCCTTTTTAAGGTTCATTTCTTCCAAAACCTTTTGATGGCCTCATATTTACTTACAGCCTTTAGTTACCATCAATTTCAAAAAACAAGTTTTATTCGGACTTTTTTCTTCTTCTTGCATATGGAAAGAGATGTATATGATAAGATGAGCTTTCAAACTTCTATTAGTATTGTTATCCACTATAATAGAAAATTAAGGACTAGCTTGAATATCTTGGCAAACATCTTTCCATCACACATTTTTTATGCATTTTAAAAACTTTTTCTCACTCATAGCATTTACACAAGTCCTATACTCTATGGTGATTAGCATATAGGGCATTCCCATAAACCTGCTAAATTCACACAAAGATTTATAGCTTTGTAAAGGTAATCCCTTATTCACAATGAAGTACATATGTTGCATTAAGGAAATCAATTTGTTCTTGTATTGATTTTCTTGAGTAGTAACATATTTAGGGATAGATAACCCTTTCTTTTTCTTTGTTTCCCAAATAACCATAACTAGTTGATGTTGTTTAGAATTGTTATGCTTTTTTAAAATTGATTTTTGAAGAGTCAAAGAACCATCTATACTAAAAGGATTATCTTTTTAGCATATACATATGCCGTACATTTTATTCTTTGCTTGCCTTCAACATCCACTATAAAATACACCCAAGGAAAATTGAATTTCCACTCAATTTTGAATGTTCTATTCTTTTTCCTTTTTTGATTAGTTGAAGTATTAGTTTTTTCTTTTGTTGTTGAAAGATCTTCATCCTCTAATCTAATTTTAAGTCTTTTACCAAAAAGGGAATCATGAAGCTCTTGCCTTGCAATATTTTGCTAATTTATCTTTCTTTTCTCCCTCCCATACACAATAGCAAAGAATGCTTCAATCCCATGTTATTGCTGTCAACTTCATTGAATTCAGGTGGTTAGACACCAGGATATTCTTACAATATTCTAATAATATTCAATAGAATATTATCTGTACTGCAATGTGCGAATTTTCTTTGCCCTGCAAGTGGCAACACTAAAATATTTCTATACTTCATTAGTGCAAAGTGAAAATTGAACAATTCTTTCAAGTAGCAAGGCAAATTAGAAATTAGTCTTCAAATGCAAGGTAAACATGCCTTTGCAAGGCTTTGCAAGGTGCAAATTTGAGACCTGCATTGTCATCCCTAAATGTGATTTGGGTGCCACAGTTCTAAAGAGACTGCTGCTATCGGAGAGCTTACGGGGATGTTGAGATATTGCTGTAAGTTCCTTCATGCACTTCATAGTGATAGTAAATGCCTTGTGATGGCATCTTAAACTCGTACCGTGGCATCTGCATTGCCAGTTCAAAGATTAAATAGCCCACAACCAAGAACAAAGTGAAGAAAATGAGAAAACTCTAAGAATGTTGCTGTCCCCTTAAGTTTCTCTGGCCATAAATTCGCTGCTACAATAGCTTATATCCTTTCTACGCTTTAAGTTTCAGTGCCCGTAGCGGATAGATGTCGTTTGGACACTGTTGACCACAATTGACTATCGTTGACCAATGGACCGTTGAATGGTTTGTCTTTGCTGACTATGCTGGATATTGCCAGGGCTAGGGTTCTTCGATGGGGCTCAAGCTGCGAGCAGTGCCGATCACGGAGGTGAATTTCCGGCCTTTTGGCCAGCTCCTGGGAAAGATCGGCGACGGATGCGAGTATGGATCGGGAGACGCGCAGCTCAATCTCGCGAATGGGATTCCCAGGTAGTGCAGGCAAAATGTGGCCGAAATTTCCAGCGGCTCAGTAGTGATTGAGTGAGTGATGGTTCCTTTGCGCAGATTCTACCTCATGGAGCTCAAGAAAACGGGGCTGCGATTCAAAAGGATAACGCATCACGCCAGGGTCACGCAGTGTCTGGGATCAGTGGGAGCTCATCCTTGGTACATGGCGGTCTCTCTTCCCAGCATTGTGGATCCTTCATCGTAACACGAGGGCGCTGTTCGATCCAACGCTGGTGGCCACTACTATTTACCTCCCTCTCATGCAAGCGTCCAGGTTTTCAAGATAGATGGTCCTCGCTTCATCAAGCTAAACGAAGGAACTTGGCACGCTGGTCCTCTCTTCGATGATCGAGATTCGATGGTCTTCTACAACTTGGAGCTCAGTGACACCAACGTAAGATCATTTGATCGAGCTTGTAGTTACCATGACTTATGTTTTCTCCTTTTTCTTGTTGCAGGTTGTGGATCACACTACCCACGTGTTTGAGGACGACGTACTGATCGAAGATTGAGGTACAGAGCCTTGGCATTTCATGTGATATTCGAACGTGATTTTTGTGCTAGGTGATGGCGAGCTTAAACACTTTTTTGCGTGTCTAGAAAAGCAAATGGTGGAAATGAAACAAGTTCTTTGCGAGCTAAGAATTTCATGTCCCTTGCCATCAAGTTGTCGAGGAGCTCCTTTTGTGCCTCGGGACATTGACTAGTAGTTACAAAAGGAGGCTGATGATCCTGGTCGGAAGAAAATTTACGAACGGGATGACTCCCACAGACCATGGCGTCAACTCCCTGGTATAAATCTTTCTTAATTGAACTGTAACACTGTTAGAATTCTGTGCAGGGTGCTGATTATGGTCGAAAGCCGCCTGCTTTCTGTCGAACACGAGCGAGCGGATGTTGAGAGTATTCATGTAATTTGCCTCCTGCCAGTCCAGCTCGCTACTTCCGCCAAGAACTCGGGTTCCCTCAGTCAACAGCAAGATGGAAATGTTCCAGAAGTCTTTCTTCTTGATGTCGGTCACAAACTCGAGCGGTGGATGATATCCTTTGAAAGGTTTTGCTGCTCCTGAAACTTCTTGTATTTCACCTCTTCGTGGTTCTGATTCTAATAATGTAACTTTCGTGACAGCGGAAAAGTACGAACTCTATGCTTGGAAAGTTTCAAAACAGCGTAGTGGTGACCACAATTTCAGAAAGGAGATCTTCTATGAAGTAAAGGAAGCTTTATTTTTCATGTTGATTCATGTTTTCTTTCCTATTTAGCGTTCTGTTAGTGAATTACAATTGCGTAAGCGAAGTTGCTGCGAGTTCGGATCTCCTATGAAGTAAGCTTCTTCTTCTTTGGATGTTGATTGATTTTTTTCTTTCTTTTTTTAGAGTTTACGTGAGCAAGTTGCTGAAACTGAATTTGTATTTTCTTCTTTACAGCATGACACATTCGAGGTATGATTTTTGGTTTTTTTTTGGAAAAGGTGAAGCTACAGCCTATGTAAGTTCAATAGGGCGCTGTTGACGAGCTCCTCGAGGCTTCTGGAATGCTTGGTAAGTCCCACAAAACCCGAAAACGTTAAGAAGTTTTCTTCGTCTGAGGCAGTCGCTGACATTGCTTCCAGGGACGCCTCCATTTCACCGTCTTCTCTAAAACGTCGCAAGAACCTGGCGTCCTTTGCCATCAAGCTGTTCAGAAGCTCTACGCTATATCGCCGGATACGATTCAAGCTCCTAGAAGGTGCTGTCTGGGATAGAAGCTCTGTGATTTTTTCGCAAAGCCGTGATTGTTGCGATAGCACGCCTTGTTCAAAGTTACGTGTGTCGAGCCAGGGGATTATGGCTGCTGCCAAACCGATGGCTGCCTGCTGTTCCTTGTCTGTGGATTCCAGCACCATCTGGAGGATGGGAGATATGGCTGCTCCAAGCTCCAACTTTTCTTCGTCGTTAAGCTCACCGCACAAGCTTCGCAAAATTGTGGCTGCATGGACTCCAATTGGCTTGGTGAGCATGTTGATCAAGCTCTTGAGGGTCTTGCTAACGCCACCTTGGCTGTAGCTTTTGCGCCTGAGGAGCCTCGAGCAATTGTTGGGACACTGGAGGACGAGCAAAAATATGGCTTCCCCGGCTCTCATGGCGATGCTCAACTGGTGGCTGTTCGGTGCGGTTTCTCTCGCAAATATGGCCATCAAGCTTTGGATAACTCCTCCAGTTGCACCAATGCAATCTCTAAGCTCGTCCTCGGTTGCTAACAGCTTGATCACGTCTACTGCCAGGTCCTGTAGCTCCAAATCTTCGAGATTGCATATCCTTTGAAGACTTCTTACTGCTGACACTACCGACACTATCTTCTTTCGCAGAGACCGTCCAGAATCTCCTCCCGCGCCAGCCAATGTCCTCAAAAGCTCGAGTGATCGACGGAATACTTTTCTCGACGTTCGTACTTCGAGGAAGTTCCAGTCTTCGTCTTGGATAAACGCAACCAGGATGGAGATAAGTCCGCTGGTGTTACCGATTCGCACGCATGTCCTGTGGTCCACGGCTAGCCTGTTGAGGATAGCGAGTCCGTATCTCTGTTCTTCTGGCACTATCTTCTCTCCTGCGGTTAAAAGGGAAATGATGGCTTCCAGGGATCCAGGGATAGCGGAAATCCTGAAGCAGTTACTCCGGTGACGAAGCAGGTACTTGATTACTATCGTTGCAGCTTTCCTGATTTCGGCCTCACTAAGATCCTTCCAGGTGATCATCTCTAAGAGTCTCTCCACAACTCCACAACTACACAGGAGGAAGAAAGAAAAGGTAGAGAAGAAAGTGAAGAAGAATCAATGAAGAAGACGAAGAAAGGAGCTAATTACTTCTGTCCGTGAAGATGAGTGGAGAGAGCAACTTCAAAGAGCTAAAACTTTCACACGACAAACGGTCAGACGAGAAACTGGAGCACTAGTGCTGCGATTCCAGATTGATCAATGTTGTTTGACAACAATGATCTGACACACACAAGACTGTTTTCTTCGTCTCGGTAGCGCCCTTTCTACTGTTGCACAACAAACTATTGCACAGCCGTGGAAGGGAATAATAGTATATAGAAACCTGTTGTATCTCGTACTCTTGCTCTATAAATTCTCCATAAACTTAAAGCTTCTTCTTCCAGGCCTAGAGAAAAGTCGGCTTCAAACACACGGCATGGCCATCTTTTTGTGTGTACTGTGCAGAACTCTCCCTTTCAACCAGGTCTTATAGTTTGCCACTTACTAAGCTTAGGTGGTGGGAAAGAAAAAACTGGAGTAGTGATGTTTCTATCTTATACTTAAGAACCTTGTGTTGGCTCGAGGAGTAGTACTACGAAGTGGTGTAACAAACGCAAAGCTTGGACAGGGCAGATTGCTACTGAACACTATTGCCATTGCCACAAGCCTCAAATTTGCAGGGCAAACTTTCTTTTCCTTCTTGTGAATATTACAATTTTCTTTCATTGTGCAAGATAAAAATTAATTTATACCTCCAAATATATAGATATTTATATATAAAAAACTTTTTAATACAACTAATTCAATTACACAAAATCTTTGTTTGCTTTTTTTGATGACATGCATCATAAACATGCCCCTAATTGATCTTGTTGTACTCATTATCACCATTTAAATAAATGAATATCAAATCATTTAAAGTTTCAATATTTAAATAGCATTTTGAAGTAGTTTTTAACTGATTTTGATAAGAAAATCCACCTTCAGCACAAGTAGTGCTCACAGGTATCAAAGAGATAATTTTGCATAATTCTATCAAATTAAAACATATATCTATCATGGAAATATCATCTCTGCATATTTGCCAAGCGACTAGCTTATTTTTTGTCAACAGATTACTTTGCATAATAGTTACAAACTTTGTGAATTCTCCTTTACATTTTTCCCCATCAACAAAAGCACCATACTAGTTCAGTAAAATATTTAGCCATTTGTAAAAGTTGTTATCCAATTTTTCCTTATTTGAATAATTCTTTGGGCTAAACAGTTTTGTAACATTGAATATGCCTATATCTTTTCCCATTCTAGCTAACATATCAATGTATAGTTTTTGAACGCAGTCCTTATTTAAATTTAAGTAAGAGCTTAAGCTCCCATCTCCTTTGCTCTCTAGAATAAAAGTATAATTTAAGACATGCTTATGTTATTCCTTTTCAGCATTTATAAACTTGATAAATTCATCTTTAGTAACCTCCACAAAATTACTCAAGTGTTTCACACTAAGAGTCTCTTTCAGAAATTTTCTTTTGATACTTTTCAAAGTACCATATAATTACCCAACAATGCTAGCAATATCCACAGTTTCAACTTTAAAAGATTTTGTTCAAACTATTTAATTCCAGAAGTATATTAGGTAGCATATGAATAAATGATCAATCTTTTTAAAACTTCCCCATGAAATAATCAACGTACACTGTGGATTTGAAGCATACCTAATGTAAATATATTTATAGCATCTTCTAGAGGCCTAAAAGCCATGACTCTTTTTCTAAAAGTATGCAACCATTTATAAATTTGATTGCATAGCTTTTGAACAATCATAAGTTTAAAAAATGCATGCACAACTTCAATAGCCACTAAACTTTATTTATGTGTTAAGTAATGCACTCCAAGCAAGTGTGGAATGTTATGTTTCAATATTGTCACTAGACCAAATTATTCTCCAACCATAATAAAAGCTCCATCAATTTCAATAACAACACATTTTCCCTTTTTAAAGTTCATTTCTTCCAAAACCTTTTTGATGGCTTTATATTTATTTACAACCTTTAGTTACCATCAATTTGAAAAAGTAAGTTTTATTCAGACTTTTTTCTTTTTCTTGCATATGGAAAGAGATGTATATGATAAGATGAGATTCCAAACTTTTATCAGTATTGTTATCCACCATAATAGAAAAGTAAGGACTAGCTCAAATATTTTGGCAAACATCTTTCCATCACATATCTTTTTTGCATTTTACAAACTTTTTTCCACTCATAGCATTCATATAAGCCTTATACTCTATGGTGATTGGCATATAGGGCATTTCTATAAACCTATTAAATTCACACAAAGATTTATAGCTTTGTAAAGGTAATCCTTTATTCACAATGAAGTACATGTGTTGCATTAAGGAAATCAATTTATTTTTGTGTTGATCTTTTTGAGCAGTAATATATTTAAGGATAGATAACCCTTTCTTTTTTCTTTACTTCCCAAATAACTATAGCTAATTGATGTTATTTGGAATTATTATGCTATTTTAAAATTGGTTTTTGAAAAGTCAAAGAACCATCCTTACCAAAAAAATTATCCTTTTTAGCATATACATATATTATACATTTTATTTTTTAATTGCCTTCAACATCTATCACAAGATACACCCAAGGAAAACTAAGTTTCCACTCAATTCTGAATGTTTTATTCTTTTCCTCTTTTTATTGGTTGTAATATTAGTTTCTTCTTCTGTTGTTGAAAAATCTTCATCCTCTGATCTAATTTTAAATCCTTCACCAAAAAGAGAATTATAAAGCTTTTGCCTTGCAATATTTTGTTAATTTATATTTTTTTTTTTCCCTCTCATAGGCAATAGCAAAAAATGCTTCAATCCTATGTTGTTGCTGTCACTATCGCTGCTTTCCCATTTGCCCTAGTCCTAATCCATGTCAACTTCATTGAATTCAGGTGGTTAGACATCAGGATATTTTCACAATATTCTTAATAATATTAGATAGAATATTATCTATACTGCAATGTACGAATTTTCTTTGCCCTGCAAGTGGCAACTAAAATATTTCTATACTTCATTAGTACAAAGTGAAAATTGAACATTTCTTTCAAATAGCAAGGCAAATTAGAAATCAGTCTTCAAATGCAAGGTAAACATGCCTTTGCAGGGCTTTGCAGGGCTTTGTAGGGTGGAAATTTGAGGCCTACATTGTCTCCCTAAATGTGATTTGGGTGCCATAGTTCTAAAGAGATTGTTGCTATAGAAGAGCTTACAAGGATGTTGAGATATTGCTGTAAGTTCCTTCATGCACTTCACAGTGATAGTAAATGCCTTGTGATGGCATCTTAAACTCGTACCATGGCATCTGCATTGCCAGTTCAAAGATTAAATGGCCCACAACCAAGAACAAAGTGAAGAAAATGAGAAAACTCTAAGAATGTTGCTGTCCCCTTAAGTTTCTCTGGCCATAAATTCGCTGCTACAATAGCTTATGTCCTTTCTACGCTTTAAGTTTCAGTGCCCGTAGCGGATAGATGTCGTTTGGACACTGTTGACCACAATTGACTATCGTTGACCAATGGACCGTTGACTTGGCTGACTATGCTGGGTTCGATTCCTGCGCTGGGCGATATTGCCAGGGCTAGGGTTCTTCGATGGGGCTCAAGCTGCGAGCAGTGCCGATCACGGAGGATAATTTCCGGCCTTGGCCAGCTCCTGGGAAAGATCGGCGACGGATGCGAGTATGGATCGGGAGACGCGCAGCTCAATCTCGCGAATGGGATTCCCAGGTAGTGCAGGCAAAATGTGGCCGAAATTTCCAGCGGCTCGGTAGTGATTGAGTGAGTGATGTTTCCTTTGCGCAGATTCTACCTCATGGAGCTCAAGAAAACGGGGCTGCGATTCAAAAGGATAACGCATCACGCCAGGGTGACGCAGTGTCAAGCTAAACGAAGGAACTTGGCACGCTGGTCCTCTCTTTGGTGATCGAGATTCGATGGTCTTCTACAACTTGGAGCTCAGTGACACCAACGTAAGATCATTTGATCGAGCTTGTATGACCTTTTTTATGTTCTTTTTATTTGCAGGTTGTGGATCACACTAACGACGTACTGATCGAAGATTGAGGTACAGAGCCTTGGCATTTCATGTGATATTCGAGCGTGATTTTTGTGCTAGGTGATGGCGAGCTTAAACACTTTTTTGCGTGTCTAGAAAAGCAAATGGTGGAAATGAAACAAGTTCTTTGCGAGCTAAGAATTTCATGTCCCTTGCCATCAAGTTGTCGAGGAGCTCCTTTTGTGCCTCGGGACACTGACTAGTAGTTGAAGGATGTACAAGATGAGGCTGATGATCCTGGTCGGAAGAAAATTTACGAACGGGATGACTCCCACAGACCATGGCGTCAACTCCCTGGTATAAATCTTTCTTAATTGAACTGTAACACTGTTAGAATTCTGTGCAGGGTGCTGATTATGGTCGAAAGCCTGCTTTCTGTCGAACACGAGCGAACGGATGCTGAGAGTATTCATGTAATTTGCCTCCTGCCAGTCCAGCTCGCTACTTCCGCCAAGAACTCGGGTTACCTCAGTCAACAGCAAGATGGAAATGTTCCAGAAGTCTTTCTTCTTCATGTCGGTCACAAACTCGAGCGGTGGATGATATCCTTTGAAAGGTTTTGCTGCTCCTGAAACTTATTGTTATTTCAGCTCTTCGTGGTTCTGATTTTAATAATCTAACTTTCGTGACAGCGGAAAAGTACGAACTCTATGCTTGGAAAGTTTCAAATCAGTGTGGAGTACAATTTCAGAAAGGAGATCTTCTATGCAGTGAAGGAAGCTTTATTTTTCATGTTGATTAATGTTTTCTTTCCTATTAGAGTTCTGTTAGTGAATTACAATTGCGTGAGCGAAGTTGCTGCGACTTCAGATCTCCTTTGAAGTAAGCTGCTTCATTTTTGGATGTTGATTGATTTTTTTCTTTCTTTTTTTAGAGTTTACGTGAGCAAGTTGCTGAAACTGGGATCGCACTCTTTCCCACCAAGATCATAGATCCTCCTAAGTTTTGTCTTTCTAAAACAGAGTTGGTAATTTTTATTTTATTCTTTACAGCATGACACATTCGAGGTATGATTTTTGGTTTTTTTTTGGAAAAGGTGAAGCTACAGCCTGTGTAAGTTGAATAGGGCGCTGTTGACGAGCTCCTCGAGGCTGCTGGAATGCTTGGTAAGTCCCACAAAACCCGAAAACGTTAAGAAGTTTTCTTCGTCTGAGGCAGTCGCTAACATTGCTTCCAGGGACGCCTCCATTTCACCGTCTTCTCTAAAACGTCGCAAGAACCTGGCGTCCTTTGCCACCAAGCTGTTCAGAAGCTCTACGCTATATCGCCGGATACGATTCAAGCTCCTAGAAGGTGCTGTCTGGGATAGAAGCTCTGTGATTTTTTCGCAAAGCCGTGATTGTTGCGATAGCACGCCTTGTTCAAAGTTACGTGTGTCGAGCCAGGGGATTATGGCTGCTGCCAAACCGATGGCTGCCTGCTGTTCCTTGTCCGTGGATTCCAGCACCATCTGGATGATGCGAGATATGGCTGCTCCAAGCTCCAACTTTTCTTCGTCGTTAAGGTCACCGCACAAGCTTCGCAAAATTGTGGCTGCATGGACTCCAACTGGCTTGGTGAGCATGTTGATCAAGTTCTTGAGGGTCTTGCTAACGCCACCTTTTCTGTAGCTTTTGTGCATGAGGAGCCTCGAGCAATTATTGGGACACTGGAGAACGAGCACAACTATGGCTTCCCCGGCTCCAATGGCGATGGTCAACTTGTTTGGTGCGGTTTCTCTCGCAAATATGGCCATCAAGCTTTGGATAACTCCTCCAGTCGCGCCAATGCAATCTCTAAGCTCGTCCTCGGTTGCTAGCAGCTTGATCACGTCTACTGCCAGGTTTTGTAGCTCCAAATCTTCGAGATTGCATATCCTTTGAAGACTTCTTACTGCTGACACTACCGAAACTATCTTCTTTCGCAGTGACCGTCCAGAATCTCCTCCCACGCGAGCCAATGTCCTCAAAAGCTCGAGTGATCGACGGAATACTTCTCTCGACGTTTGTGCTCTGGGGAAGTGCCAGTCTTCGTCTTGGATAAATTCAACCAGGATGGAGATAAGTCCGCTGGTGTTACCGATTCGCACGCATATCCTGTGGTCCACGGCTAGCCCGTTGAGGATAGTGAGTCTGTAGCTCTTTTCTTCTAGCACTTCCTCCTCTCTTGCGGCTAAAAGAGCAGTGAGGGCCTCCAGGGATCCAGGGATAGCGGAAATCCTGAAGCAGTTACGGCGGTGACGAACCAGGTGCTTGATTACTATGGTTGCAGCTTTCCTGATTTCGGCCTCACTAGGATCCTTTCAGGTGATCATCTCTAAGAGTCTCTCCACAACTCCGGGCGTGGTACCAATCCTCCGTCGCGTTTCTTTTATTGAATCTCCTTTTGAGACAAGAGCTGACAGTATGTTGACGCTACCGAGCTGCTCTTCCCTTATGCTTGACTGCAGCTTCTCGACGGTGAAATCGATAAGGTCCATTCCCAGGCCATCAAACACGCTTCCGTTCAGCGATCGTGAGTACAATGTGTACCAGTACTGCTTCATGGTTTCAATGTCGACTTGATCAAGCTCACACGTTCGAGTGACTACTTCCAGCAACCTCTGGTAACGAAGCTTGAATTCCCAATATGCTCTCTCCAGGAGGAATAGCGACGTTTCTGCCAGCATCATCGCGTAAAACACCGTAAGTGCTTGCTCAGTGTTTTTTCCTTGGGCATTGAAGCCGTGCTCGGCAAGTCGATATACTGAGAAACATACGGTGACTGTTGCAGAAGCAAGCTGGAGCAAGTACATGAAAAGGCTGATGATCCTGGTGGGGAGGAACTTTACATACGGCAGGAGCGGGACGCTTCCCACGGACCAAGTTCTTCGGGCACCGAATCCCTGGTATAAATCTTTCTTTACTGGTTTTTTGGAAAGTCGATCTCTGCTAACGTTCTGTTCAGGGTGGTCACGGTCGAAGGCTGCAGAGAACGTCTGCCTTAATCTGGCGCTCTTGTCGAACACGAACGATCTGAAGCCGAGAATTCCCAAGCTGTAATTTGCCTGCTGCCATTCCAACTCGCTACTTCGACTGAAAACCCGCGTTCCTTCAGTCAGCAGCACGGCCGATATCGTCCAAAAGTCTTTGGCCTGAATGTTGCTCACGAATCCACCGAGGAGAACAACAGTTGCCCAGACGAAGGCCAGTTTCCCGAGGCCAGTGGCGAACTTTTCAAGAACTGCGAGCCTGAAAGCTATCAGATTGAGACGCTGCTCTGGTGATTGGGAATTAGCTGAAGGCTGGGCAGTGGAAGACTGCTGCCCTCGTCGTCTTAATAACTGCATTTCACTGGAGCTGAAGGCTTGGGAGTGGAAGACTGCTGCTCGACTTCCGGATGTGGAGAAAAAACCGACCACAACTCACTGGTGTTGAGGGTTCTAGTGCCTGAAGGTGGAGAAGGTGGAGTAGCGAGAGCAGAGCCGGAAGAAGGAACTTGAATGGTTATCTCGTCCGCAAAGTGAACGGTACTCTTGGGGGCACCGGCAGACTGTCTGCTGTTCCTCGAATCCATGTTTAGTGTATTGACGACTTCAAAGCCGCTTGAATGTCTTTCTCATGTTGCTGGCATAAGCAAGTAAGCTAGAGACAAGGAGTGGAATGAGATTTGGGCGGATCAAACCTGCGGCCTTTGGAAGCGTGTACTGCGTGAGGAGCGTGTCTTCTTCACGAGTCCATGGACCCCTGTTGAGACCGATTTTCTCGCAGCAAGGAGATCGACCCATCTGCATGGCACCACCAACAAGGAAAAAGAAGAACAGAAACTAGAAAATGCCTGTGGAAGCTTTGGGAAGAACACAGGATGAAGTTCGACTGGGACGAGAAGAATACGGTGGGTGTTATATACGAGATGTTTTGTTTTAAATCAATGTTTTCCGCTCTGCTGGTCTCTTGAAAATGTTCCTAGCTATGAGATAGATGCTTCAGACACACAAGGGACCAGGACCAAGAAAAAATATTCATGAGAAAAGAACAAAGCTTGAATTTTTTGACCCCTCAACGAAAGGAAGCTAAAGACTCGTATAGGAATCTACAAAACCTGTGCCATGCTTGTCCCGCCATGCAAACATCACTCCCTTTCTTGCTCGTTAAATCGCGGTAGGATCTCTCAAGAACATGACCACTATACTGTTGATGACTATCGCTACAGTAGGATGGACTTTGTGGTATAGCTTGGGCTGGTGCTCTCCACAGAAGGAGCACGAACTACACAGGAGGAAGAAAGAAAAAGTAGAGAAGAAAGCGAAGAAGAATCAATGAAGAAGACGAAGAAAGGAGCTAATTACTGCTGTCTGTGAAGATGAGTGGAGAGAGCAACTTCAAAGAGCTAAAACTTTCACACGACAAACGGTCAGACGAGAAACTGGAGCGATCTGGCACTAGTGCTACGATTCCAGATCGATCAATGTTGTTTGACAACAATGATCTGACACACACAAGACTGTTTTCTTCGTCGGTAAAGCCCTTTCTACTGTTGCACAACAAACTATCGCACAGCCGTGGAAGGGAATAATAGTATATAGAAACCTGTTGTATCTTGTATTGCTCTATAAATTCTCCATAAAGTTAAAAGCTTCTTCTTCCAGGCCTAGAGAAAAGTCGGCTTCAAACACACGGCATGGCCATCTTTTAGTGTGTACTGTGCAGAACTCTCCCTTTCAACCAGGTCTTATAGTTTGCCACTTACTTGGGAAAGAAAAAACTGGATATTTCTTCTCACATAGTGATGTTTCTATTGTATACTTAAGAACCTTGTGTTGGCTCAAGGAGTAGTACTATGAAGTGGTGTAACGAACGCAAAGCTTGGACAGGGCAGACTGCTACTGAACACTATTGCCACTGCCACAAGCCTCAAATTTGCAGGGCAATTAAGTTTAGCATTTTGCAGGGATTTTAAATAAATAAGGCTACATATAAAAATATAATATGTACTTCTAATGTTGAAATTGTTTAATTTTCTTATATTAACACTTGATCATGATCCTACACATTTATAAAACTAAGTCAACCCACATTTGATATACCATCACTTGGTGTTGGGTTTCATATATTATAGTGATATTTAAATATGCCATCTAATATATTCTAGTTTAATATTCAAATTTATAAAACAGAATAAGTTTAGGTAAAGTTGATTAATTTATTAGTAAAGCATTAAAAATAAAGCTGTTCACTTAAAAATAAATATTCACTCAACCTGACGACCAACATGAAACCAGAATTCAAATCTTTGGCAGTTTTGGATGTTGATCTAGTGATGCCACCAAAGATATACATCATTTATCATGGGTACAACTTGTCATTGGTTAAATTAGCAAGAACACTATGCATTGCCATCTGGATAATATAAAATCTTTTGATACCACACTTCCTAACAAGAGATAGAACCTACTGTCAAAGTTTGGTCAGCACTCAACACCAAATGTCCCAATCTTTGCACCTATGAATTGTAAAGAAAGTAAAAAACTTACCATTTTGGTGGCCATGTGAATCTGCCACAATGAGAAGAATGTAAGCTGCTTCTCTGATGCCAATGGTTGAGAAACTACATGCCAAGCAATTCTTCAATATGGTGCCCAACATAATCCTCCCAATAGAAAGATCACAAAGAATGTCACCATCCAAGCATAAATTTAAGCTAAGGATCAATTGCCACAGCTACTGCTGCAAGCTTGTGGTTTAGACATGTTGCTAGAGGCATCAGACCACCATACTGTCGAAGCAACTTTGCCTTGAATCCAAAGAAACAAAACAAAACAAAATAAAAATGAAGAAGAGAGAAAAAAAGTATCTGCAATCTTAGTGACTCTCCTAAAATCTTTCCATCGCTAGTGACTTGATAAGAAGTTTGAGAAAATGCAATCTCACTATAAGAAAATCAACTTACAACAGCAGCTCCAGTGGCATCATAGCTCATCTCAATTCCCAAAATAGGTAGCAAACCAGTAGCTATAGTGAGAAAAAAAGGGTGTCATGTAGGAATTTGCACATTTGGGATGAAATTGTGAGGTGCCATTGCCAGGGATTGGCAAGAGCACATGCCAAAGTTCACAAGACCTTAAATTGAGGGAAAGAAATTCACATATTAAGCTTGAATCACAACTTAAAGGCACCAATAGTCAGGTTTGCTATCACAGTAAACACTCTCCACTAAACTTTAGAACTTACCTTCTCAATTTCAAAGGGTCTCCATTACAAAAGGTTGAATGTTAATACCGGTTAACACTTTACATGTGATATGTTGCCTAGCAGATGCTAAGTGAGTATAAAAATCAATAATTTTATACTGTTTTTTCCTTCTGATATCTCTATATACACACACAATACTATATAACATAGACCATATATTTAGAATATTAATATATCCCTAAAGTGAGAAAAGAAAAATTAGTAAGTAAATATTAGTAATAAATATAATATATGCAAAGTACTACTTGGGAATATGAATATATTTAGAATATTAAAATTTTATGAAACTTAATACAAGGAAATGACCAACAAAGTTAGCCGCCCTTGCTACTCTGTGAGTCACCCAGCTTACAAAAGTGTAAAAACAAAAATTGTTAAGAATAACTCTTTTATAGTTATTAGATTATAAATATATTTAGTCAAAAAAATTTAATGAAGAATTACTAAAAAATATTTTTCTTAATTAGATGTTACATGTAAAGTATGTTTTTACTTGGAGTCAAACAAATTTAGAATCCTGAAATGGTAAAAAACTAATATATTAATACCCAGACTAAAATAAAAGTAAAGAAGAATTACTAAGATTAACTATTATTAATTTAGGGAAGCATTATTTAATTATTATGTGCTTACTTGGAATATGAATAAATATATAACTAAAACTTTAAGAACATTAATATATTACTCAGATCCTATAGAGGATTGCTCAATTAAAAAAAAACAGCACTATTGAAAAATTAAAGTCTAACCTAGAAATAAAAAATTATATATACCCTTAAACTCAAAAATATTAAGAACACTAATACTACTATGCAGACCCAAGTAAAATTAAGAAAAGAATTACAAAAAATAAATAATATACATATTAAACACAAACTATAAATTCAAAACCTAATAAACTATATTTGTTCTTAGTCAAAAGATTTATAAATGTGTTTAATGGTAACCGTCAACCTCATGTTTGAAATGTAAGTTTCATGCCCATATATAATTGCTGTAATTGCCCAATCAATATATCATCAATACATGATTACAAAGAAGAAAAATGTATGAGAGGCTAAATGGCATCTTCCAGTTCCTCTCCAGTGCTCACCTCTGTCGTCACTAGTGGAGGCGCTGGGGGCTCGCATCCTATGGTGGATCTAGAGCCCGCAGCTCCAGATCTGCTGCTGGCGCCTGTTCTTGCGGGGATTGGGAGCCTCAGCTTCATTGGCCATTTACTCGCTCTCCTTTAGGGCTATGCCCTTTCCCTAAAGCAGCAGTAGAGATCTTCCATGCCAGGAGCAACAGTGGCGAGATTGTAGAAAGGCATCCCATTAAGCTCCGGATCTACTGCTGGCACTTGTTCCCATGGAGATTGCTGTGGCGATTGACGGAGATCTTTGGGTGGGAGATCTCTACTTGGGAGATCTGGGAGCTGCAGCTTCACTAACCATTTACTTGAGCGCATTGCTCTCTAATTTCAGGAAAGACACAATCTAGTCAACACTTTGCATGTGCCACATGTCACAATGCTTTCTTCTCTTGCCCCACACAGCTTGGCCGCCTCCCATTGGCCAAGAGCAAACATCAGCACGATTATTCGCTAAGACATGGTTAAAGAAATAACCCCTTTACAGTTACCCCCCATCGGACGGCTGCAATTGGCTGAATCCGGCGGCCCAGAAAGTTTGGCACTCCCACTTTATTATGATAGATTCTTTGGGCTGAACAATTTTGTAGCATTGAACATGCCTATATCCTTTTTCATTTATGCCAGCATATCAATGTATAGTTTCTAAACACACTCTTTGTTTAAATCTAAGCAAGAGCTCATGTTCCCATCTCTTTTGCTCTCTGGAATAGGAGTATAATCTAAGGAATGCTTATGTTATTCCCCTTTAGTATCTATAAACTTGATAAATTCATCTTTAGTAGCCTCCACAAAATTAAGTGTTTCCCACCAAAAGTCTCTTTTAGAAATTTTCTTCTGATACTTTTCAAAGTACCATTTAAATACCTAGCAATGCTAGCAATATCCACAATTTCAGCTTTGAAAGATTTTGTTCAGACTATTCAATTTTAGAAGTATATCAGATAGCATATGAATAGCAAATTGCATTGTGTAATTTGTCAAAAATTGATATATCTTCATAGAAGAGAATTAAAATTCTATAAGAAGACTTGGTATTATGATGTTGATTCTCTTTAAGACTTCCTCATGAGATAACTAATGTACACCGTGAATTTGAAGCATACCAAATGCAAATATATTCATAGCATCTTCTAGAGGCTTAAAAGCTATAACTCTTTTTCTAGAAGTATGCAACTATTTATAAATTTGATTGCACAACTTTTGAACAACCACAAACTTAAGAAATGTATGCACAATTTCAATAGCC